TCCTCTCTCCCTCCCTCTCTTCCACCTCCTCTTCTACTTTCGGCGACTAGCAACCCTCCGGCTAGCAGCCAGCGACAGACACAGATTCGACGACCAGGTATGTCTTCCTCCATCTCTCTCTGTCTCAAGTCTTCACCTCTTACCTATCTATCTCACCTTTTCCCTGTAACTCGACACACACACACACACACGCCCATCCACCCACCCCGAAATCCCACCCTACCCCACTCCCCCACCTCCTACCCATCTCTCTCACCTTCTCCCTGTAACTTGACACACACACCCCGAAAAACCCACCACACCATGGTCCAATCGCCACCCACCCCCGACCCTCCATCCACCATAAAACTACCCACCAACCTAAGGCCAGCCACACAGCCACCCAACCCCATCTCCTTCATCAAACCCACACCACCACACAATGGCACACCATGTGTTTGTTGAAATTCTTGAGATAGTTGACCGAATTTGGGTTAGGACTTTATTTGAAGGTGGAGGGGATTTGGGGTGTATTTTTGTTTTCATTTTCTAAACTTGATTTGTTTGAATTAATAGTTGTTATAATCTCCATCTAGGAACATGAATACAAAAAGTCAGTTTACTTGATTTGGGGAATTTGTCTAGCTCTATTAATCTACTTCATTTTGGTGATGATGTTTCATAATTCTATCTTTTTTGGTTTGATTAATTGAGGTTGAATGTATAAGCAATCGATCTTTGTTCGGTTTCAATTTGACAAACAACTAAACTGGTTTCAAATTTTTTGTTCAGTTTATTTCTTTTTGTTTGCTAATTTTTTGTTATGGGTTTGCTTTAGAGCATTCACTTTTGCATATGAAGTTTGACTTCTTTGTTTTATTTCTTCCTTTTTCACTTTTCATTCTTTGCTTAGAGTGTTGTGTGAAAAATTGCATACCTAATTAGCAGATTGAAGGAGCATAACTTAAAGACTCTCGAAATTCTGTCCATTGCTGTAATATTTTGCCTAAGTTGCAGGTATTTACTCCCCCTGTTGAACTCTTATAAAATGTTTTGATTAATAATTGTATTGCATGTATAATAGAAATGATTGGTGGGGACTTTTTATGTCTATCAGTGTTGTGGGAAATTGTGGATAATAGGTGTTTATTTAATGGATTGTGTGAAAGACTATGGAGTTTTGTATACCTGTTATAATTAATTGAGTTTTTAGGAGGGAATTGTTTTTTCATGGAAGTTTTGAAGAAATGTTGATACGTTTAATGGCAATGTTCCCTGATTTTTTAACTGTTGGTGGATTCAGAAGTTGTAATGCATCGCCTATATAATAAGGATGTTCCTTACTTGTAGTTTTTCTCACATGGGTCCATGTCATTTTTCTGACAATCAACATTTGATAGTGTGTTCTGATTTTTAACCTTTAAACCATGTTTACTTGTATTTTGGTGTTTTTGTTCCGTGAATCAAGATATTCAAGTTGGTAAACCTTTTTTCAATATTTTAATCAGGACAGACAAATAATACATCATTCACATTGTTTTAGGTCATGGCTAAACCTTTTTTCCTAACTTGTGGCTTGAGATCATGTTTGCAATCACGAAGGAGATCTTTCTTTTTCTTTGTTTAAGTCACATCCCTTCCCTTCTTTTTCTTGGTTTGGTAGTTAACTGTCAGCTACCCATGTGTGGACCTGTTTTACATATTTATACACTTGACTTTGGTAGCTTTTGTGGTTCCAACTACTATAGAACTCTTGCTTGTACAGGACTTTCTTTTTCCTTTGCCTTTGCCTTCATGTTACTTGTTTATCATGATATTCAATTCCATGGCATTTCAAGTTCTTTCCGAAGCTTAGTTAGTATAGTGGTGGTTAGGAATTAGATCTGCTCGGATTTTAAATCTTATGTTGTGGTTGGCCCTGAAGTTTAATTCTAGATTGTCCATTGTACAAATAATAATGTGGCGAGATATCTAATGATAGCAAATGGTTAGTGCAGGAAAAAAACTCCATTGACAACGTCATGCACTATGAAATCAGTATATGATTTTGATCAATTGAGATAATCCTATTTGGTTATTAAAGTTTCCAATTATGGTACTCATATCTTCCAATTTTCAATTTTATCATTACATCTAAATCCATCAACTTGCTATCCAGGTGACCAACTCGTGAATCGACCAAATGGGTATATTTGTTTGGCAAAAAATAATTTCCGTCCTTGACTAAAAAATCTTAACTTTGTTTTCGTCCTTAGATGTAGGTCGAGCAACACCGCTCGGATGAGTGTTACAGTTTTATGCACTCTAGACAACTATTTCACACCTATAAATCCAATGCTTTTACATGCATCTTAATTCAACAATGTAGTAAATCTATATTCACTTTCTATCACGTGTGCTCATGTTGTAACACAAAATTCATGAATCATTCTTAATCCGTTGAATTGTTTTTTTCCCATTTAGGTGTTTGATGAATTTCATGATTGCGGTGCGTCACTCAAATTAAGCCAATGAAAGTAACAACTTTCATTCAATTTTACTACAAATACCTCTTCTTGGTCTTTTTTATTTGTTTTTTGTTCTTGAAGAATTCTTTTTATTAGTTTAACAACTTTGAGTGCAAGTTATTCATTAATGATTGCAAGTGATTCATTAAGCAATTGTTTTCTTGAAAATTGATCTTCAGCAGTCTATTCTATATTTTGTCCCTAGACTACATAGCTTTTTTATTGAATAGAAACATTTGCACCATCATTCCTTGTTGGCCGTTACTTAAATGCACACCTGCACAATTGCACATAAAGAAGTAGGGATCTTTTCTCATTTATGTTGTGGTTTTATTGTCTTTATGTAGAATTTGATACCCTTTTGCATGTTGTTGTTCTGCTTTCCTCATTTGTCCACCTCCGACCTCCCACCCTTCCTCCCAACATGCCTGTAGCTAGACTACTAATAGAGAACATCCTTTATCTTGGTGGACCAAATATTGCCTCAGAGATTTACAACAAAGAATATGATAATGCTCAAATTTGTGCACATAAAATTGTTGTGTGTTTGCATTTTATACTGTGCATTTTGAGAGTAGACGCCAACTCAATTTCAAACTACAATGTGCAATTGCGGTTGTGTTGTCCCCTTGGGCACAGGTTGTTGGGCATGGATTGTTTGATTTTTGGGGATTGTAATGTTTGTTTTTCAGTTACATATACAGGTTGACATTTCCATGGTCTCCTATTTCTAAAGGAAATTCTGCCGAAATTTTGCAAAAAAATAGCGGGTTATTATTATAGATTAGATTGATGTAACTTTCTTTAATTATTTTGCAAAAATAATTAAAATTTTGCCTTCTCTTTAGCATTCTAAGATTTGAACGATCATGTGAAATTCCTTATTGTTTTGGTTGTTTTGTTCATCTTTCAGTTCTGTACACAGGTTCATATTTTAAAAAAAATAAATGTCAAAATTTTGAAAAAAATATCGGGTTATTAGTAGATTGATTGATTTATATGACCCAAAAAATAAAGTGTTATATTGAGTGAACAGTTCACAAGCGTATTTAGTGAGTTGCAAAATGCCTTCAGTCATGGGTTGTTTGCCGTGGTTTTTTCTTTACATGTTTGCTGTGTGGACTAAGTTTGGTAAAGTGAATACAAAAAATATTGTGTTATTGGTTTATTTTGATTGGAATTGATGGTTGCCAAAGTTTGATGGGCTTGGAATGGTGATTTTTTGGGGAATTTTTATTGTGAATTCTGATTATTGTTATGTCAGATTGTGAATTGTAAATTTAAAAGACTGAGTTTTGTAGACAAGTTGCAAATTTTTTGAAATTCTATTGTTAGAGTAATCTCTGTCAACATAGTAATTGCCCACAAATGTCAAGTTGTCTATATTGACTTCAATTTCTTTAATAAAAGTAATTTAAAATACTAACACAAACAAAAATGACACGATCTAAAATTGAAATGACCGAAAATGACACGATACGAAAATAACATGATACGACTAATGTCGCTTTTGCCAACAAAGAAAACTAGCATGGTGGTCTAGAAGAAGGGACTAAAATGTTGACCAATGCTCATGGTCATGGGCTTTAACGAAGCCAGCCCTTAGAACCAAGTGGACAAATATGGAACTTTTCAAACAAAAAAAAAAGAGCTTAAAGTCATATTTCAGAGGGTAATTTGTCGAAAAATTGAAAGTTTTTTTACAGAATATTCATATTTTTACCCTTTTTATGTCACTAAAGTCATGACATTAAAAATGACCAAACGTTTTTCAGCTTAATACATATTTATATTTATTGTTTGATTATTTCGTGTTTAAGAACTATTTACAGTGCCTTTAGACATGTGATATAGGGTGAGTTTAGGCCTTTAGTTTTGTGCTCGATTATTCAATGTTCGATTTTTTTTAGTTGCACCGTCCTTTCAAGTACGAGTTATCTCTAGTAGTATTTATAAGGGTGACCCTTAATCTATGGGAACTGATCCGTGATCCTCGCCATCTATCTGAGATTCTTGTCCTTATTTCTTGGATTTCTCCTTAATTTTAGGAGAAGGTCTTGATTACAGTTTTCTAACGCTCTAAGATCCTATCGTGGTTATCCAACTGTTATCTTGCCTTAAGAGACACTTGGCCTTTACCCTCTGATCTCTACTAATGTGCCTGACCTCTTGGTCCGAGCTAACCTCCTAAGCTTAGCACTTGAAATTTATTTTAGATATCATAAAAAACTATACGTGAGTAATGTGAGAAACGATCAAACCACGGGTAATTTATAATTTGCCCAAAAATATATGATTCTAATCTACAAGCCGCCAATTTCATTGTGAATCAATCTGTAACAGATGAGAACAATGGCAGTGGCAGAAACAAAAACCCAACAGCAGCAAGAAATTATACAAGAAAAGGGGCAAGATGAGAAGCTCTTAAGCCAGAAACTGTGCCGTTTGAGTACAAGTAATATGAAACAACTCAATCCACTTATCTCGTCCATATGATACGTTTCTGTGTCTTCTTCAGGCAATGCTGTTCATGACCTCCTCAATCAATCTTCCTATTGTATTGTACGATGACCCACCCTCCGCCATGGCCACCCTACTTTTCTCTCTCATCTCCTTCACCTTCTTCCTAATTTCACTCTCACCACCCATCATCAATCGCCTTATTCCACCCTCTATTAGATCAGCGCTCAAGATTTCTGGCTTCTTATCCTCATCACCATGGAAGCCCTTGAAATAGTCCATCTTAATCTCCACCGCAATTTCCAGCTCCGTCACCATCTCGAACGCATTCATCTGCTGCTCTGCGTACAGTGGCCAAGTCGCCATGGGAACGCCGCACCACACGCTCTCCAGCGTCGAATTCCACCCGCAGTGAGACACGAAACCTCCGGTCGCCGGGTGGGATAGCACCGCCACTTGTGGGGCCCATCCGATCACTTTCCCCACTTCGGTCGTACGTTCTAGGAACCCTTCCGGCAAGACTTCGCTTGGATTTTCATAGTCGCTCGGAAGCTGCATCTTATTCTTCTCCTTCGACGGAGGCCGCCGGAGCGACCACAAGAACCGGTGGCCACTGTTCTCGAGGGCTTGAGCTATCTCCTTCACCTGGTCCTCTTCGAAGCATCCCATGCTGCCGAAGCACAGGAACACAACCGATGATGGAGGCTGGTGGTCCAACCACTCCATGATTGGTCTTGATTGCTTGGTGCGAATATCATCACCACCGTCACTGAGGTTGAGAATGGGCCCCACCGGAAAGATTGGTGGGGTCTTGTCACTGTTCAAGAAGTACTCAACCGCATACGATTCCAGCTCCATGAATGTATTGACCATAATGCCCTTTGTTTCTCTCAGCCTTCTGGCGTGAGTAATCACCATTGTGGACCCACCTGCTTTATCAGCCACCACAGAAGGCAAAACCCTAACCGGAACTGGGTTTGTGAAACTCGGTATTCTCAACTCGGTTTCCGTGTTCTTCAACTCAGTAATATCCTGGTGGTGATCGTCACTGAGAGATTGAAGATGGAGCTTCAGGCCAAGAAAGGCGGCACCCGACGTGAAAAAAGCGTAGGTTGGAACCCCGAACTCGTTCGCCACATCGATCATGGCGGTGCAGAACATGTCGATGATGAACCCGGCGAGTCGAGACGATGAGTCGGAGCGAGTGAGTTCAGCGACTACGTTTCTCACAGGAGCCTTGTGCCTGTCCATGAAGTTTGCGAAGAAGCTGAGAGGGGACTTGGACTTGGAGGAAGGGTCCTGTGGCTGTGAAGCTGAATCGCCTTGAGGGAGGTGGAGGTCCACGAAGCGTAATCGTGGCGTGGCGGTGGCAGAGAGTGAATTGATGTAGCCGTCGACGCCGGAGTCAATGGGAAGTTTCATGATGAGGACGGTGATGGACAGTCGATGATCTCGATTAAGGAGGAGTTTGGAGATCTCCACAGTCGATATAAGGTGGCCCACTCCCGGAGAAGGTATGACCACTAACTCTGCGTTCTTCATCTCTGTTGAGTGTTCGGACTATGGAGTCTATTTTGTTGTAGTCTCCATGCAAGGTTAAGTTTTTCTTTACAGAGGTACGAATTGCAAACTTTTTTTTGTTTGCTAGCCAACACAACAACTAATACCCAAAAAAGCCTCACCTTACACGGCAAAAGGACTTTAAAGATTAAGGAACCAGTCAACAATTGTTTCAATATTGTATTCTCTTCATTTTTAAATATTTATTGTATAATATTTTGTATAAAAATTAAAAAAATTATTAAATAATTTTAATATAAATAAAAAATAATTATACAAGAATAAATTATATTTATTCAATACGTATTAAGAAGGAAAAAAATATAAAAAACATTTAATCTCTACTTAATCTAATATATTGAAAAATTATGAATAAATTTAGAATAAAAAATATTAATTATATTTTAATTTTATTAAACGACATATTTTATAAAATAAAAAAAATTATATAAAATAACAAATATTTAAGAACGAAAAATAAATAGTTTAGTAGATCTCGCCTCGAATTATAAACTTCTAGAAAACTGGTCAGATGCCTCCAGGCTCTAGTTACAGAAGATCATCCACGTCGATCATCTGTCTCATCAATGTTTGTCATCCAAGGTATTTTAGAAAAATTACGGTCGCATTTCTTTTAATTTATTATATCCTCAAAAGCCTTTTTTTTATTATCAAAAAAATTATTGACATTTTTTTTTAATTTATATTTAAATATCGTTAACAGCCATTGCCACTAAACTATAATTTTTAATTAAAAAAACTAAAAATACCCTTATTTAACCACTAAATAATCTTTCTACATAAAGTTTGAATCAATTAAAATTTATTTTTTATATATTAAAATTAGAGTTGATTAAAATTTATTTTTCTATATATTAAAATTTGAACCAATTAAAATTTAATTCAAGATAATTAAATTTTAATTTTTGTATGCATTAAAATTCAAACATATTATATTTTTTTTACGTATTAATTCAAGGCGATTTGAGTTTTACCTTAAATGTTAGTGTCAATTAAAATACACTTTGAGCAGATTAAAATTTATATTTTAAGTATTAAAACTTTAGTCTATTAAAATTTATATTTTTTATGTATCAAAATTCAGACCAATTAAAATTTTGTGCAAGTTGATTAAAATTTGATTTGAGCCGTTTAAAAATAGTTTTTAATTAGCTCAAATAAAATTTTAATTGGTTCAAATTTTAATACGTAAAAAAATATATTTTTTAATCTACTCGAATTTTAGTACGCAAAAAATAATTTTAATTAGCTCAAATTAAATTTTAATTAGCTTGAATTTTAATACGTAAAAAAATTTAAAAAACAGAACTGTTCTTATTTAAGATATGTCTATATTATGGATAATTTAGTAAAATTACATTATAATTAACACTTTTATTCTCACTAAGGGTGTTAGTGAAGATTTAAAAAATAAAGGGAATATCTTTGAAGATATGATAAATTAGAAGGAATGTGGTTAAAATTTTTTTAAAATATTTATGAAGGATAAATTTCTCATAACTTGACCTTAAAAATTTATTAAGATTCAAACCATTACCACTTAAACTATTTTTTTGGGTTAACTTGTAATAATATAGTTGACAGTACTTTAGGCGGCTCAGTAGTCCCCAGTTTGACACGCGTAAAGATGTAGTCGTTAGAGAGCCCAAAAGACATCGAGGTTTGGCGTTGAGAAGTAATAGCTTGGAAGAGTAGAGTACACAAACTGACACCAGCATTTAAGAAGACATGACAGTTCATTAATGAGATGTGAGTGACTTAGACAGAGCAATTAATGAACCCCTTCATTCTCGAGACCCCAAAACAACAATTATGATAACAAAACATTAATGATTATCGTGCCGAGTATGTTCCCCCGTAGCGCATCAAGTTACTGTTCCCCACACAATAAAAGTTTGAGAATAGGTGTCCGGTGCTGATCAAAAGGACTTGATTGCCCCGGGGTAGTTATAAGTGCTTGGCATAGTCCCGAGCACTTGTCTTGTCACCAAATCATTAAAGGCTAGAGAATTTGTGCAAAGGGCATTTATTACGCATTGAGAAGGCTACAGGTCAATAAATGTTCAGATGTAACTGCTTGTTATTGCACTCATTACTAATTTAAGTACAAATACTCCCCAGAAAAGTGAAAGAATGTTCGCAAAATTGAACTGAGTTAAATAATATATTGTGCTCAAGCCTTCCAATCTTATACTAACTTAAGCTTTAGAGGGGATAAGCCGGGTGTTCATCCGATCCCTTTTCTGACCTAGTGGTTATTTCTGGTTCATTATCGAGCGAATTGCTACCTCAATCTATTGCAAGAATTCTCTCGTGCAATAGTAATAGCAAATTGTATCCAATGTTAATGTATTTTGATTTTGAAGGATCAATTGTCAGCCTAATGGCCACCGTTCTACTATTGGATTCTTAAGTTGTGGGTTTGAACTTCACTGTTTAGAAAAATTGCAAAAAAAAAAAAATTATCTTGATTTTAATTTAATGATACAAAAAAATTTTCACTCCAAAATTTTATTTTTTTTATGCAGTCCCAACCTCGAACAATTCTACCAGAATATTCTTCTATACCAAATAATCTCTTTAATTCATCCTTACTTTTTTTAATCTTACATTTTATTTTTTATTTTAAAAAAATTATAATACATAATTAAAAATATAAATTATTATTTAAAATATAAAATATTAGCCGATAAGCATGGAGGAGGTGAGGTCAAGCGTGGCTAGCGGCAACTCCACTGTGTGGCCTTTTGTGGAGGCACATGTTTGCTTGTGGATCAATAATGGAAGTGATGTCATTGCTGTGCTGGTGTGGCGATCACTACCTCTGCCTAAAAGCTGTAAGCAAAAAAAAAACACAAAACGTATAAGGACTTTACAATGCTATATATTTTAAAATTATATCTCAAATGTTCATTTTAAATCAATAAGAATAATTGAATCAGTGAGTTCTAATTAAAAAAATTAATGAGATCTACTCATTCAATGATTTTCATTCATTTGAGATTCAAATTTAAATTACAAATTTAAAATACATAGCATTTCTCTTACTTATTGCACGAGAAGATTCCTGTAATCGTATGAGGCGACGATCTCCCAATTAGCGAACCTGGAACAACAGGGGTCAGAAAAAGGGGGTTGGGCGTGTGCCCAGCTAATCCCCTCCGAAGCTTAAGTCAGTAAAAGATTGAAAGATTTTGCTTAAAAGACTTTTTCTGGTTTGAATTTGCGTATCTTTGTCCATTTTTCTGAAGGATATTTATACATGAATTAGCAATGATTGTCAAAGATCTTCAGTCTTATCTGGACATCTTCATATCTGACATACCATTCCTCGTACAGTGAATGTTTCCTATTCATGTCTCCTCTTATTAAATGTTAGGAAAATGGAGTAACAGCTCGGCCATCCGCCGAACACTTATGCCATTCCCCGAACAACTAAATCCATTAGGTCGGCGTCTGACACCAACCAAGCATTGACTACTCGGCAGAACAGTTCTTCGGGAGATCTGATACGTCGTCTCGACGCATTAGTCATTAATGTTTAGCCATTATGACAGTAGGCTTAGATTCGTAGAGGGCAGTTGCTTGCAGGCGCGCATTTATTTGTCATGTCACTATCACTCATTTCACCATAAATGTGAGGTTACAACACATTAAATACGATGTCAACTATCGTATTCAGCCGCTCCGTGTCACCATACCTTGGCATCTTTTGGTCATCCCGACGACTTTATTGTTCCACGTGTCAACCCAGGGACCGAAGAGCCGCACTGGAGTCCCACCACTTATATTATAGCATGTCCAAGGTTAGGTATTTTATATGTGCTACTTAAAATAAAGAATCAAATCACAAAATTTTATTCAAGGGATTAGTTATTTAACTAGTTATTTTATTTTTGGACTAAATAGCTTTTTACATGTACAGTTTTTTTGGCTAGTTATTTTATATTTAGAGAGTCAAATCACTTTTTTTTGTATTTTAAGTGACTAACTATTTTATATTTTGATGATGTGTCAAATTATGCAATATTTTTAATTTAAAATATTAATAGTAGTTAGTTAAAATAAAGAGTATGGTTAAAGAGTAACTTTTTAAAAGTGACTCTTTAAAATGAAGAATATAATATATATCCATATAATAAAGTAGTTAGAAAAGTTAGTCTTGAACTTTGTGCGGTTCAGATAGCTTGGCGATTATTGATCCAACTGTCCTAATACAAAATTTTCTCTCCCGATTTTTTGAACAAAACTTTCATTCCTTCCACAATTCTATGGCTTTTATCTATCTTATAACTCTCTCTCATTCTTTATATCTCATACTACACATTAATTAGGTCATTAATTATGATTCTATATGATTAAGAATTTTTTTAAAATTTTCAAATAAAAAAATGGATCTTAAATACAAATTATTTGCATTAAAACGAGTTGAATGATGATAATATATGTCATATTTTGTATTAAAATAAAAATATTATAATATTTGAATAGTATAATAAGCAAATAATATATATATATATATTATTTGTGGGTCAGATTGTTTTAAGATTATTGATCAATTGATCAAAACTATTCTTTCAAATTTTTTTCCTGCCAACAAATTACAAAAATTCTTTCATTTTGATGAGCCCGAATTTGACTGGGTCAAGTCTAATAAAAATAAACCAAAAAAATCAAAATAAGAGTCCAACTGAACTTGGGTCAACCCATCTGAAGGGAGTTCAAAGCACCAAAGGGACATCAAGAGGACAATGCGTAAGGGAGTCAAGGGCCAACGCCCAAGGATCCCCAAGGGGGGCGCCGCCCAGGGGTCCCAATTGGGCGTCGCCCATGCTGGCTCTCTCCTCTCCTTCGACCTCCGCTTTCTCCACCTCTGCACCATTGGAACTACTTCGATTCGAGTCCAATCCACTCCAACTCAAAGTCAAGGCTCAAGATCAAGTCCAGTCGAGCTCACGATA